CACATATCAGATATTAAACTGATAAGAACAGATACTACACTTGATCTTAGCCAAAAGGCCGAGAAAGGTATGCTTAATTCAGTAATGGGCCAGCTCTTTTATAATAGTCAGATCCCTCTCAGGTTTTCTCTACATTCGATGTGGGACAACATGTAAACCAACGAGTTCAAGCTTTAAAATCATCAGACTCAGACCACCTCATTTCCCATTTCCAGCACAAATAAAACGCCCTAGGTTGGAGATTACGACAGTTGAAAACTATGAAGCATGCATTTCGAAACCTCTCTTTGCTCCAGAAAAAAGTATCCTGGTCTTCGACTGCAATCTCAAACAGCTTTATTATTGATCATTTTACATTACTATGCTCAGCTTTTTGTTAAAAATATATGGAAAAGACGGAGGGCTCATTATCTCAAAATAAGTATCAATTCGAATCGAATTACTGTTAGTGGAAGTTCCAGGAGGCGTCACATTGGAGTATCTTTGTCATAAAACCTTCACTGAGAGTCTCAAGAATAGCTAAAATAGACCTTGGAACTGAGTACAATTCTTCACTAAAAACTTGATATTAGCACAAGTCTCACGAATACTCATTTAATGAAATTGAAAATGGGAATTGAACAAGAAAAAATGAATTCCCTCGTGAAGGGCAGGTTGAAAACATTATTTTCAAATGATGCACGTAAATTTTCTAACAATTTAGCCTATGTTAATTTGGCCCCATTTTTCTAAAACTCATTTTCACCCACATATTCTTCCATAAAATAATTTCACACATAAATCGGAAACGTTTCCTTATTTTCTATCCACAAATTCTCTAAAAAAAACTCATTATTCCAAAAAAACATTTCTCAAAAAATGAGGCTCAAAAATGTGTGTAGTATTTTAAATAATAAAGTGATTCAACGAATATAAATATAGATAGTAATGCAAAGCAAAAGAGGGAAATAGGTATGAAAACTTTATTAGTAGTTAGTGATTGGGTGAAGATTTATAACATAAGCATAATAGTAAATATCTAGATCATAAATTTATATTACGTGCTTGCAAATTGGGAAAATTGCCTTATTAGTCTCCTATTAATAAATCTTGATTCTAACTCACTTAATTTGATAGTTTTCAAATTTTCAATTATAGCAATTTTTAGCTAATAAATACATGCAATAAACTATTTAGAGCCTATTTGAGCCCTATTTTTTCAACAAAATGCATTTTGAAATGGTATTTTGATAGAGAATGTGTGGTTGAAAAATAAGGAAATATGTGATTGAAAAAATAGAGAAAAATATATTTTGAAAATAATGAAACCCTGACAACGCTTAATTTTTAGTCAAATTATTAAGATAAAAAAGGGCAAGGAGGTGGGCTTTCATGTATTGGACTAGGATTGGTTGGGTGTACCAAGCCCAAGCAATAGTGCAACGCCAGGTCAACACTCAAAAGCCCCAATAGCAAGCTAATGTAATGGACTCTCC